AGCTCAATGGAAAATTCTACTTCCCGTTTAGGGGGTCGAGGAATTTCATCGGGGAATACCTCCTCGAATTCATTCACCATTGGTACATTTTGAATTGGATTTTCAACCAGGGTCTCAGCCTCGATTGACAAGAGATAACCTGCTGCCCCCCGAAGGAGCTCTTTACGAACTTGCAACAAAGAAATAGTAGCAAAAGACAGAAAATTACCGTCTCTCGAAGGAACAATGACCTTCCCTGCTTGGCAGTCCAAAGTGATCCTGTTCTCCACCAACCAGTCCATGCCGATAATTACTTCGAAATTGAATACCGGCAAAACCACTAAGTTGATTGTATAAATGCTTCCTTCATACTCCAGAAGAACGCCTCTGCAAATTTCTGAGGCTGTACAGGATCCCCCCGTAGGAGTACTCGAATAAGATTCGGATATTTCTGCGCCTCATTAGCATCGAGGGTGAACACTCTGGCCTGAGTAGGTTGCTGACTTGCATAGTTTTGACATTTAGAAGCGAAATGTCCAGGTTGACCACATCTGTAGCATGTGTTGCTTCCCTGTAAACAGACTCCAGCATGGTTTTTCCCACAATTAGAACATGCACTGGGACCCTGACGTCCTGCTGATGACTGACCGGGTGCAGTATTTCTCTTGAAATTACCATTCCGAGCTTGCATCTGTGGACCCTTTCCCTTGTTCATTCCCGTGTTCTTCTTGAAGAATCTGCCCCCTCTGTTTCCTCCCTGCTGTTGCACCGGTTGTCTATTCAAATTTCTTGCTTCCATGATAATGCCTTCTGCCTGCCGACTTTGATTAATGATTTCGGGCAGAGTATGGATAGCCGTGGTCAACATGAGCTTTCTGATCTCGGGATGCAATCCACTCTCAAACTTCTCCACTTGCCACTCCTCATCATAGATGTTACGGTCAAAATTGGTATATTCCATCAGTTGTGCAAACTTTGCAATGTATTCATTGATAGTCATGTTTCCTTGCCTCAAAGACAGTAGCTCTGTGTGTTTCATTCTTCGCATTGCTTTTGGGAAGTACTTGTCCAAGAATACCCTCCTGAACACAGCCCAGGTCACTTCAGTATTCTGAGCTCGCAGCAGAGCTCTCGCGCCGGTCCACCATGTCAATGCTTCTCCCGTCAACTGATAGGAGGCATAGTCCGGCTTCTGAGCCTCTGGGCATCCCATCCGTTCGAAGATATGTTCGATCATCTGCAGCCAGTTTGCTGCAGCCTCAGGGTGGTCTCCACCTTCAAAGATAGGTGGTTGAAAGTTACGGAAGTCCTTCAACCTCCGTCGGGCAATCTCCTCCGCATGGTCCTGCAGTGGGGGTTGATTCTGGTTCTGTTGACGATGTTCTTGCCATTCTTGGCTCATGTTCTGGACGAACGTGGCCAATCCCCCAATTGTTGTGATAAGATCCTCTTCAGCATTGTTGTGATAAGATCCTCATGATTCTGCACTTGTCAGTCCTTCCTCACTGCAGGTTATTTATGACAGCAAATTCAAAGAACCGCGATTACCTGCCATGATTCTGCACTCACAATATCACGACACCCTCTCTTGTATGCATCCAAGAGAGTCGTTTGCTAATCGTTATTCGAGTTGTGGAAACGGATGAAAACTTTTTCAAAAAAAAAAAAAAAGATCTTTGAGAAATTGTTGTGGAAAGCTGAATCTAAGAAAATTTTTTGATGGAAAGAACTTAAAATGTGTTGCTGATAAAAATGGTGAAAATTTTTAGAAAACCGTATTCCTTTAAATATTAATATAAAATCGATTTTTCAAAATATTTTTGTACAGTTCGCGAAATCTGAATGTAGACGCTTGGGGCTTCGCGTGCATATAAAATAATAGTAAATCGGAGGTCATTCGCCCCTTGAAACGTAACTCATAAGTTGACCGTAAACTGTTAAAATTCAGCATTAAAAATAATTCCTTTTCGCAAAACATTTTCAGATTTTCTTAAAATAGCCGCTGTTCGTAGAAGACTTAAAGCAGAAATAAATCATAGTTTTACAGTCATCCAAAAATCATCAAGTACCACATAATACAGTCATCCCAAGCTTAAAACAGTCAACAGTGAATAAATCCAGACAGCAACAAAAATATAACAGAGTTCAACATCCAAGTCCTCAAATGCTTTTACGTTCTCCTGCAATTTAAAAATTGCAGCCCCAAAGGGGTGAGAATAAACCCAGTAGTGTGGCAACAAAACCAAATGCAACAGTATTAACTAGGCACAAAATCATAAATAGTCACTTCAAACATTTAATCTTTTTCATCATATATCATAACGCGTATATAACGCCATTTTTCCTTTACGCTCATAGCACCGTCGTGCGCGTAGCATCACAGTGGGTATTCCTAATGGCTCCCATGAAGGTGAATCCCACTGTGGAACCTATGCGGACTGAAGCCAAGTGTCCCCTCTCCTGGTACCAGGCATGCCTATATGATGCATGCTCAGTCACATGTCCTCAATACAAATATATATATATTCAAGATGTCATGAATCAAGTATACATGCCATGTTATGCAATCGCACCCAACAGAAAAATGTATTATGATGTAAAATGCATGCATATATCATATCATCCTTTCATATTCTTACCATTGGCTCATCATCATCATAACATACATAGAACAAATGTGAGCAACACATCACAATTCCATACACTAGCCAATAGTCACATTAGGTAATACCGCCTACACATACCTCGTACGTCACAATTAAATGTACCAGACAGCAGCGTATAATCCAAAATTTACGGCTTTTGCGCACCTAATATACATTGCAACAAAATTAGAATATGTTTCAGCCTTCTCTATTAATTACCAACAATTCTCCAAACCTAAAGGTTCATGTATCCATTCGGCCAACAATGTTATTTTCCTAAAATATTCTGACTTTCAAAACAGTCTTCCCAACGTTTAACAGTGAGGGTTTCTCAAGGTTCCTAAGCATGGCAGAATCGATTTTTGGACATAGAAGTTACTCAAGATTTTTATTCATACAATTTCCTATTTCTATACTCAGAGATGCGAAAAAGGAGCTTATTATTCTGCTGTCTACATAATTCTAGATGGAGTTTAGCACACAATAAGGCTGGTCCAAAACAGAACGGGTTTCATCATACAAGGCTCATAACGTTTATTCAAATATTTGGCTTAACAACACATGGAGTATGTGAAGGGAAACTAAACAACATGCTGTATATATATAAGTTAAATAAAACTTAGTTTATAACAAGTTTTATCAAGACAGAATCGGTTTCATCTCAACAAAGCATCAAGGATGATTTCTTCCAAAGCTCACGAATTCATTCAAGGATCGCTACAAGGGACCTAGGCATGCTGTCCAAATTATTTTGCTTCAAAAAATTTTAAAGGAACACCAGGCCATCATCAACAGCCCCATCATTTAACTTTAAGATCATTACCAAGTTCTGAAATTAATTCTAAGCTTTCATGCTTTCATAAGATAACTAAGACTATATCCTAAGCATGCTTCTCGGTTTCAACAAAGGGAAGAAGAAGAGGGGTTTTGGGCCTACCTCTTCACAATACACAAGGAAAACTGGTTTGAATCAAAAGAGCAGCAACTCAATCCCTTAAGTTCCACTAAAACCACAACTCCACTCTTCAAGTTGATGACCGTGTACAAGAAAACGAAGGGAGGGAAGGTTAGCTCGAATTATCATTCACATATAATGGAACGTCTTTTATCAACCAAGAGAATGAGTAGTGAATCAGGGATACACTTTACCTCTTGGAGTTACCACGCATAGCCGAGTAAGAGAAGGAGGGATTTGTATTTGAGACTTGGTGATTCCTTAAGGGTTCCACGGTTTAGAGAAGAAGAGAAAATAATACAATTTCTGGTTGGTTCCCTTTTTCTAATAGTCTACGGCATGGAGAGGGTGTTTGATGAGAAATAGAGCAATGGTGGCTGAACAAAGAGGATTTATTTAGATTCCCTTTTTAACTCCATTGGCTGCATGGCTGGCCAAAAGTTGCAAGACGTAGAGGTTTTAAATTAAAATTCTGATTGCTTCTCATACACTCTATGCGCATGCAAGGCTTGATGGAAGATGGTGTTTGCCACATGTTGAACATGCAAGTTTAAGGTGGAAGGACATGTGACCAGAATTTTGTTTTTCTCTCCTTTAATTTTCTTAGCGCATGAAAAGGCACAAAGGATAGTTTTAAATCTGATTGAGTTAGAGTGTTAAAGTGTAAGATCAGAATTCCATCCTTCCTACCTATGTAGCGTGACAAGTGAGGGCTGGATGACATTGTTTATCCAATAAGGTTGCATGCAATGCTGGCTACTTGTTATCTATTGGTTGCATTGCCTTAAGGCTGATTGCCTTTGGAAAATTCAACAAGCAACTTCAGCCTTTTCCTTGGTGCAGCCCATGCACATAGAAGGGAGGGATTTTAGTGGCCAATCTGTCCACTTTTAGATGATATAAATCAGAATTTCTGCTCACACTACCTATACCTACGCGCACATGTGGAGGGAAGATAAGGATAACTTGCCATGTGTGATCACCTACCAATCAAAGACTAACTTATGGAGTTTCTTTGGATATTATTAAGATAATACACAATGAAATTTTGGGCTGCACTAAGACCCTCTTTGCAGCCCCTTATGCTTCGGCCCACAAGCATAAAAGAAGGAAACAATAACACCAAAATGACAAGCCCAATGGATTACCATTCCAAGATTATTCTAGGACATCATAAAGTTCCACGTCTCCTAAGTACCTTTAATTTTTTTATAGATCGATTTTCTATCATGCTCATATACTTTACTAGTATTTCACATGCCTAAGGTACATTCGCATATATTCTAATAATTCAAGTAATTTCTCTACTTCTAACCATAGGAGTCAAAATTAAACACACATTCCATGTGATTCGAATTTTCAATCATGCATGCTTATGCCTTATAATAATGTATATATATTTCTTAATTACGTGGGATGTTACACCTTCAGACCACCACACAACCTATCTAACTACCATTTAACACATGATACATCATCCAAGCAAAGTCAACAACATCCAACTCCTAATTCTCCTCAATGGTCGAATTGTAACATAAGCAATTCCAAAGGATTTTCACTCTTTTTTAACCACTCCACACCTCATACAATCTCATTATATCAACATACAATCATGCAACAACTCACCAATCCAATCCTCACACATTTCCAAAACTCAAGTTCATGACAACCTAAAAATTTTCTAAAGTTAAAAATTCACATTTTTCATTAATAATTTTTATTGCATTTATGGCTACTACATATCATTCTAAGACACATTCATGTACAAACATTTTCCATTTGAGCTCTCTAAACACATCAATCAACCAAGCCCTCTTTAGGGTTCATAAATCCAATCACAAGATTCAACTGTTTAAATGCAAGGAAACTTACTCAAAAGCTTGGTACAAGGCTCCTCCTAAACATACTCCACCATTGGAGCATCTAGAAGCTCCAAGAACACAAATCTAAGCAACTTGGCTGCGGACTTAGGGAGGAGATATCTCAAAAACTAGTGGCTTTCAAGGCTTAGGAGTACCACCAATGGGTTTAGAAGGCAATTTCCAATGAATTTCAACACAAAAATAAAAGGATTTGGTGGAGAAATGAGGTGGTTAGGAGTGAAACAAGTTTTGTTCAAAAACTTGCTCATGGAGCCATGGAGGCCGCGGGTAGGAGAGAGGGAGAGGGGAAGGAGAAGAGGAATAGTGACATGGTGTCACATGTGCCAAGTTACTTAAGTGAGGTGGGCCCCACCGCCACTTCACGCGATTTCAAATTCATTTGAATTTCCCTCCGTTTCCACTAAACATCCTTAAATTCACAACCTATTTAAAAACTCTAATTTTTGAACATTAACCATTGTTCTTTAATTATACTTGATCAGATGAATCTGGAGTTTTCCGGTCGTTCGGAGAAAATGTTGTTTTACGCTGTTGCGCGCGCCGTAGGCACGCTTCCCCAAACTTACTTATTTCCATCAATTTTCATCAGAAATCATATTCCCTAGTTCTATAAACCATTTATGACTCATATTTAAAACCTACAGCTCAAAACTCAATCGGCACGCTTTACGGTGCAATTGTACCGCGATAATTTTTACCCGGTAAAAACACTATTCACTAAATTTTTTGAAACTTGTCTAACCACTCAATTTTTTCGTTCTGAATCCATTTCCAGGGTTATTTTTATCATCTGAGACCTTCTACTCAATTTTTATCTTCCTAGGGTTGCGTGTTGGCTAATTACCGTTTTGCCCTTTCTTTGTATTTTGGCCTAATTTTCAGGATTTTCAAAAATCCTTCCCTTTAATCCTCATTTAGA